GAGAGAGAGAGAGAGAGAGAGAGAGAGAGAGAGAATGGGGATTGAACCCAGGAGAGAGAGAGAATGGGGATTGAACCCAGGGCCTTATGTGTGATAAGCAAGCACTCTACCACTGAACCATATCCCCAGCCCCCCCCCCTTTTTTTTAAATTTGAAACAGGGTCCTTTTTTATTTCTCTTTTTTGCCTTTCATGTACTAATTCATTATAAATCTCAACCATCCCTTCCATCCTTTATGGTAAAGTTATATGTAATATATCTGTGTACATTTGAGACAATATTATAATTTTCTTTTTAAATTGTCATAGATGATTAACAGCAGAGTTATGTCCTGATGAACCCATCATAAGTTGGAAATCACTTAGTGCATCTAACCTACCAAACATGCCAGCTTAGCAGCACAGCACACTGGAGAGTACAGTTGTTGCCCTGTGATCTTGTGGCTGTCTGGGAGCTGTGACTTCTGCCACTGCCCAGCATTGCAAGAGAGATCATAGTGCCCAAGAAAAGATTAAAAATTCAAAATCTGAAATAATATAGTTTCTATTGAATATATATCACTTTATGCTGTCATAAGATTGAAAAAGTCTTATGCAGAACCCTGGGAAGTTAGTGCTGTACTTTGAATCTGCATTATCCCTCAAAGGTCAACGTGTGAAAGGCTAAACTGAGGAGCCATTGGGAGGTTGGGCTTGGGCGAAGAAGCAAGGTCAGTGGGGGAATGCCACTGGAGAGTCTCTGGGACCCACTCCATCCTGTCTGTTTTGTGCCTGGCCGCCATGGAGTGAACAGGCTGCCATGCTAGGCTCCTGCCACAGGCCCAGAGCACAGGCCAAGTGACTGTGGGCTGAGACTTCTGAAACGGTGGCCAGAATAAGTGTCTCTTCCATTTACCTATCTAAGGTATTTCATCACAGTAATGAAAACCTAACAGTTGAGGAACCATCTGTATGTAGTTTATGAAAAAAATAAAAGAAAAAAAACAGACTTTTTGCTGTCTTGACATGTAAGGAGCTTAGAAGTTGCTGCAGGATTCTAACAAGTGAAGAACTGAACAAACTGGAAAATCAGTGACTCTTGGATCAATCAGAGTTGAGGTCCCAGGGCAAACCACTGCACCCAAATTGGATAGGCAACACAGAGTCATGATTTGTAAACAGGAACCTCCAGGGAAACTGGTGCAGGTAGGAAACCTGAACAGAAATGGACAAATTGACAAAAGCTCAGTGTGGACAAGTCTGAGCTATAAAAATGACAGGAGACCTGTCATGGAGGCTCATAAACGTTTGAGGGTGTTTTTTTTTTTTTTCCCCCCCCGCCAGAAGTGTGATGAATCCCACAGTGAACATTGGGGGAAATCTCCCTATGCTTCTGGCAGGAGAAAGGGAAAAGAAACTTCTGAAATATGTCAGAGCACTATTCCTCATAAAGCTGTTCTCTAGAGAGATGGCCTTGCCAGAGCCTGCCTGACCTGAGCAAGGAAGCTCCCAACCCAGCACTCTGTTCTCCCTGACCTTGTGAGGGCCCAGGAGCACAGGCTTATGGTGCTGTATGCCTCATTGCACAGCCAACATGGCAGCACTGAGGCATGGGTGCTGCAGCTCCCTTACCCAGCTTGTCACATCTGCCTTTTAACAAAGACCTATAAGACACTGAAAGGAGAAAAATGCAGAGTGGAGAGACTGAACAAGCATTAGAATGAGAGTCATAACTGGCAAGAGTGTTGGAATTACCAGATCAGGGATTTTTTTAAAACTAATATGACTAAGGCTTTAGTGGAAAATGTATGATGTACAAAAACAGATATATAATATAGGCAGAGAGATTSAAATTCTAAAATAGAATAAAAAATGCTAGAAATGAAAAACATTGTAATAG